ACATTGCTTGGTTCTACAATCGATGCCAACGGAAGCAGCAGTCAGGACATTAGACGACGTGTAGCATTGGGAAAGTCAACTGCGAAGGAACTGTTTCAAGTGCTGAGGAGCAAGGATATCTCATTGAGGACTAAGGTGCGCCTGACACAAGCCATGATATTTCCAATCGCCTGGTATGCATGTGAGAGCTGGACAAGGAATAAGGAAGACCGAAGAAGAGTTGATGCTTTTGAGTTGTGATGCTGGCAAAGAATGCTAAAAGTACCATGGACTGCTAAAAGAACTAACAGATCTGTCCTGGAGGAAGTGCAGCCAGAATGCTCCTTGGAAGCAAGAATGGCCAGACTTCGTCTCACCTATTTTGGTCACGTTGTAAGAAGGGACCATTCCCTGGAGAAGGATGTCATGCTTGGTAGGGTGGAGGGTCGACGAAAGAGGGGGAGGCCTTCAACGAGATGGATTGATACGGTGGCTACGATGATGGGATCAAGTATAGCAGGGATTGTGGGGCTGGCGCGGGATCGGGCAGTGTTTCGTTCTGCTGTGCATGGGGTCGCTATGAGTCGGAAACGACTCGACGGCACTTAACAACAACAACAACCAACAAAACAAATCAACATGTATCTTTCATAGATCCCATAATGATAGGGAATTTCAAACTTTCACCTCTTCTGAATCTCAGCTTTGAGAAGGGAGTATAAAAAAAAAAAACTACAGCTAAAAGAAGCCTCCAATGCTCTACTGTGTCTGTAAAAGTCATCTAGCCCTGCATAGCTCTCTCATTTGATACGCTTTCTGAGGAGTTCAGAGAATACTTCAAAGTTCCTTGACATTAATGGATAATACCCACTCAATTTCTATATATTAAGGATCCAAAGTATGGTTCTGTCTTGCTTATCAGCACAAAAGTGATACTCTGAAATACTGTCAGATACCAGAATCATCCTGCCTGCTCCTACAGAATAGTTACAATTCGAAAAATACAATGCCCCAAAAGTGCCACTTCCAAAGAAATTACATATATACTAACAATACCAATCTATACCATACAGGCAGAAATACTAGCACCAGACACATATATACTAACAATACCAATCTACACCATACAGGCATATCTCATTTTATTGTGTTTCACAGGTATTTTTTACAAATTGAACACAACTCTGCATCAAGCAAATCTATCAGCACCATTTTTTCAACAGTATGTACTCACTTCAAGTCTCTATGTCACATTTTGGTAATTCTAACATTTCACACTTTTTCATAATACTATTTGCGAAAGGAAGGTTGCGTTTCCTACTTCCGTAGTGATACTGCCTTGGAAACCCAAGGAGGGGTCGCTATGAGTCGGGGCCAACTCGATGGCAAACAACAACAACAACAACAACAAATTTGCCAAAGAGGCAAGGAGGCCAGATCTAAAGCCACACTATGTAATTTACTACACCGCACTATTGCACAGTGAATAGACTACACTACATTGTAAACATAACTTTTATATGCACTGGAAAACCAAAAACATCATGTGACTCTCTTTACAGACATATTTGCTTTATTGCAGTGGTCTGGAATCGAACTTGCAGTATCTCCAATGTATGCCTACAAAATCATTGGTAGCTCAAGTTTTTCAAGTCACAAAAGCCTGATTCAAAGGGCACTCTGCTACTTCCAGTATCTATCCTGAACAGGTTATTTAAACTCTGCTATTTTCAAAATGGGGTACACCACTTAACTCACAGACTTAATAGTGAAAATATAAAACTACCATCTATGATCCTGGTATAAACTTAACAGCTATTGTTGTTATTGGGAGGTTCAAGGTAACAAAATTCAGTAACTGCTGTTTGAATGCTAGAGGAAGAATTTTAAAAAATCTCAAAAAACCTTCCCTGTAACGTAATTCTGCAAGGATTTAAAACTAGTGCGTGAGGGCGATATGCTTTTATGTTCTCCGTTGATAATGATTAAATTTGAGGTTAAATTATTTTAGAGTCATCTAATATTTAAGATGACTAAAAAGTTTATATACATTTACCTGAACATGTGAAAGTTTCTCATTTTATCACCCAACTGTTGCAGACAATTTTCTTCATTTGTAGATTCCTTACATATTACATTATCCACAAGAAATGCTACTTAAAACATCTTAGCAGTAAGGTAACTATCCAATGATCTGTATTCTGTTTTGTTAGTAACTATTTCAACATTCTTTCCTGGGGAGTTTTTTGGGAAACTCTTTGAAATTAAACACTTAATCACTTGTTCTATTCTGAAAAAAATGTGAACCAATGAACTACACCAGAATTATGGTCTATTTCCAGATGATGGAGATTAAACGAAGGTTCAGAGGCAACACACTGAAGTACCTAGAGAGCTTTCCACTCCTACCTGAGTCACATTTTTACAGCCCAGACTTACTTCATGTAAAACCAATTATCAGATTATCAGACACACCTATACTCAAATGCAGGTACAGAAACATGAGAAAGCCATGTACAAACTGTTTTTGATTACAGACTTTTCTGCTTTCCTCCATTCCCATGAATGATCACAAAATGACTATTCTAATTTGTTTCCTTAACTTTTCTATCTTATTTATCTATCTACTCTCTATCATATAGGATCTATACACTTGGACCTTCACACCTCCAACTGACTCATTTTTAAACACCTGGCATTCTGGACTTCCACGGCCTGATCTCCACCTATCTGCACAGCTTCCTCTTCCACACAGACCCCCTGATGGAGCAGCCTTATGTCTCTAGCTCAATAGGGTCTAAGATACCCAACTGGTAACGCCTATGCTCAGGCTATTCCATTCACCTAGAAAACTTCCACGCCCACTCCCGTTTCACACATTAAAATATTTTAAGGCCCAGTTGACATCGTACCGCTCAAAACTCGTTCATAAATTCCCAATCAAAAATTATTTCTCATACACACACATGCTTCCATGCACCTCTAATAAAGCCCACAAGAGTCTTGTGTTGCAATTATTTCTGAACATGTCTGCTTCTCCCTTGAGGGCAGTTACTGGTTCTCATTCATCTTCATATTCTATCCCCTCCATCATCAACAGAGTAAAAAGGTCCCTTACACATAGTAAAAGTCCAGTTGAACAAAACTATTCCTTGATTCTAATCCTGATTTTATTTTGAATAAATGACTTCCACATTCTTAAAGAGTTTGTTAATACTGTTAATGCTTTCAAATCTAATAATAATGTAATAATTACATAATGCATTAATTTTTAAGCCAATGAGTACTGGAGGATATCAATGAGTACAATAAATCATCAGTAAAAAATAACCCCGCAGAAAAGATTCCTCCCCAAAAAAAGTCTCATACTTCTCAATATTAAAATTAACCTTTCTGTCTCCCACTCTTTTTAAAACTACTTCTACCTGATGCATACCTAGAAATATAAGCTCATTGGAAACAAAAGTGTCTATACATTCCACAAAACATCTATTCCAAAGCTATGCAATGTGTTTGGTAGCATCTTTCTTCCAATGTCCATTAAAAAAAAAAAAAACTTTCATCTTTTGTGCAACTACCAAGGTTAAAGTATGCAATATGAAGATAATTTATTTTCGCTCAGGATACAGCTGAAGCAAAGTTTGGGAACAATTATAAGATACATTAAGCACATTTTCAGAAACAAAATGAAAAAACAAACAAAAACCCAACTTACTAAGAATGTCACAAAGCAGATCTGATCTCTATTGGAAAATGTTTTCTTAAACTGCTCTCACATCTTTCTAAGTCTACATTATTCTTTTAATTTTTGTGACATTGTTTTTCCACAATTTATTTACTTATTTGCAAAGAATGCCAGCATTCTTCAAAGAAACATACGTGACTTTAAAAATCAGACATTTTGTAATTAAGACACTAGTGCAACTTAGATAGTATACTTCAACATCTCTTACTATCTGTGAGCAAATGTCACTGATGACACAAGAAGTAACTGCAAAAGTAAGTTAAATAAATACTGACTTAATTGAACTTACTAAAAGTAAATCGGCTTCTAATTTTTCAATTTAAAGTAGATGTTCTAACAAAAGGTTAAAAGGGGGTCACCCGGCTGGGGACTCATTATTAAGAAGCAAAACTAATTCACAATGTGTAGTAACAGTAGCTATCTCCCACACAGCCTCTCTCTCACCCACTAACTTTTCCTCCTTCCCTAAAACATGAGGTGGGAGAACTGGAATGATCATGACAAAGGCCTAGTACCCCCAAGAGCACACACTCATCTCCATCACCACTCCGCTTAAAAGAAACGTGGGGGCTGTATACCAAGAGAACAGACGCTCCTGCGTGTCACTTCCCCCTGCCTGTGGGATAAACAAACAAACCAGCAGCGTAAAAGTAGCTATCATCAGCGCACTTTTGTTAACCCTGACTAATGCCTTGGTTAAGTTCTGAACTAAGTCAAAAGCTCTACCCAAAAGCAAAGTCCGTATCCCCCTTAAAACAAATACCTCAACGGGAAGTTTGCCCCTTAACTGAATGCTGGCCCCAGTCACCTCCTTCCCGCACACCGAAGCCTGTCTCTCAGGTTGCCGAAGCTCCCACTCAGAAGGTAATTGTCCGCACAAATCAAGGAGCGCAGGGCGCTGCACTCCGACAAACCTCTCGCAAAAGAAGCCCCCGCCTTTTCCCAGTTCGCCCACTTACCACACGTCCCCACTCGCCCCGCACTACTCCGGCAACTTTTGCACCAAGCCCAGCCCGCTGCCCCGGGCCCCCTCCCTGCCCATTGAGCCCTCCGCGCTTCCATCCCTAGACTGAGGCCCCCCCCTCCCCGCGCCTCTCTGCAGCCCTCCCGGGTCCTCTTCCAACCCCCAGGCCCCCTCCCCCGCGGTGCCACTCCCGCTGCACCCCACTCTACCCAGCCCGGGACCCCAGGCCACCCAGCCCCACCGGGATGGATGGAACTGTGGCCGCGCAAAGGCAGCCGCCCGGCCGAAGCGCCGACTCGAAGGAAGCTTTACCTCAAAGGCGCGGCCGCGAGCGAGGTTGGTCCCGGGAGCGGGCGGCGCCCTCCCGTCAGTCAGTCAGCGCCGGCGGGGGCAGCAGCAACGGCGGCGGCACATCACACCCGCCGGCGGCCGGAGAAGGAAAGCGAGCCACGCAGGGAGGGAGCGAGCGAGCGAGCGAGGTAGGGGGTAAGGAGCGAGCAAGAGAGGTAATACAGCTCGGCTCTAACTAGTCTTCTATACTAGTGCCGGTGCCTCCTATCACCACCGCTGGCCAGAGAGTCGCCGCCCGGGCCGCTGCTGTCGCCACCGATGCAGCCAGGAATGAATGCACAGCGGCGCCTCACTTATCCGGAGGTCAAACATCCTCCTGCCTCGGGCATCCGGATCGTCGCCGGACCCGGAAGTGAACACATGGGGAAAAAAAAATTAAAAAGGAAAGCGTCTCTCTAGTGGCGGCTGCCCCCAAGCTGCCCGCATCAACGAAAAGAGCCGAGCAGAGCCGAAGATTGCACCGACCTGTTCTGATTGGTCTACTCGCGGACCGGAAGAAAGACAGGGTGCTCATTGGTTGGCAAATGTTATAAAACCTAATGCACCCACCCACATGCTGCCTCCGCGCTAGTAATTCGGGAGGTTTGTTTGGAGTAATTGTCGATACGGGTATGTTTCTGTGGCTGAGGCCCTGGGAGGAGCTTTTTAGTGAAGTCTACGGAGAATGCTGGGAAAAAAATTTTAAATACCCCCATGGTGTAACAGAATTACTAAGAAATCCGTGGCTTTAGAGGGCACAGAGCCATTCTGCCAGAGGCTTACCGGGGTCTGCGAGGCGTAGTGGTGCTAAGGATTCGAAGGTCTTGGCCGGAGGGAGTGAGATATCGCCGGATTGACATTTCCTCCACTTTTTTGTGACACCAGTGCTATCTCGGGCATTCATCTACTTGGAAATAAGAATTGTAGCTCGCATCTGCATGCCCCTTTCCTATCTATCTTTGGAGACCTGTGTGTGTGAGCCCAGGTAGCTACATAACGTGGAAGATACCTGTTTTTTAAATAATCATGAAGTTCCAAGGTATTAAACCACTCAAGTTAAGCTGTAGAACACAAGCTGGAACTGAATTTTTTTTTACAGGGTTTTTTTATGTGATTTGGGTGAAAGTTTGCAGAGCAAATTCATTTTCCACACAGCATTTCATAGACATTTTGTGTCTTGACATTGACTGCAATTCCCCACAATGTAGCAGCTGTCGTCCCACTACCTCCCTGTAGTTACCACTTCCCTGTGCCCTTCTTTCCCATGCATTGCTGCCCACTCCCACCTCCCCCCCCATGAAACCGATTTTTCTGACTCCACTTTCTAGTTCACACCGCCCACACAGAAAGGCAGGTTACAGTCCTTCTCTCCTTTTACTTGGCTGACTGGCATGAAGATAGGTCATTTTAAAAGAGGTTCTCTATGAAAATTGATCCACCATGGAAGTATTAAGTAGAGAACTCTGAAACTATAATTTTTTCTTTTTTTACCTGCTATTCTTAATGTCTAAAACAACAAAACCTGCTACCATGGAGTCCATTCTGACTCACAGTGATGCTATTGGAGAGTAGAACTGTCCTATCCGGTTTCCAAGGCTGTAAATCTTTACAAAGCAAACTACTGCCTCTTTCTTCCTGGTGGGTTCCAGCTGCTGACCTTCAGCTGAACACTTATGCCTCCACCAGGACTCCTCTAATATCTCTGAAGGCCTATCAAAAGTCAAGAATTAAGGAATATGTGAAGAGAAATCATAGCCTGATGTTTTCTTTAAAGATGTTCATTAATTTATTAAGCATATTTTTATATTCTTGATTCTTTCACTTTATCAATAAGTTTCAGCCTTTAAATTCTCTATCATACACACAAAGATGAAAAATTTTAAAGGCTCCAGTGGGGTGGGGGGGGATGCACTTAAGAAAGGCTTATCTGATTCTCTCACCCTACCTTACCAGATTGTAACCTTTGGAGGGGTACCTTTTTTTTTCTTAACCTCTCACTTAACTGTCTTCCCAAAACTGAAGGTTAAGAAGTAACTGGTATCATATCACCAGTCTTAGAGGAGGCAATAATAACAAAAGCACTGATCCTTTGCTTACCACATTACCATATTTCTATAACAGACTCAAAAGCAACTAAGATTTATACATGTGCAGACATGGGAATAAATTTGCCTAGTCACATGACATATTACAACTTTTCTGAATTATTCCAGACCCAAAAAGTAGACAAGAAACAAAGTTAACCCTACATTACTAGATATAGAAGCAACATATACAATATGTTGTTGTTATATGCCGTCAAGTCAAACCCGACTCATAGCGACCCCTCCTTGGGTTTCCAAGGCAGTATCACTACGGAAGTAGGATTGCCCAACCTTCCTTCCGAGGAGTAGCTGGTGGGTTTGAACCGCCAGCCGTCTGGTTAGCAGGCAAGTGTCTTAGCCACTATGCTACCAGAGCTCCCAATATAGGAAACTCAAATACATAAACATTTAATATTATCATCAACTCCAAACAAACCATTCTATACTCTTCCAAAAATGGTTTGGGTAAATCATTTTTCTACCCACCTCTCAAAATTTTGATAAATGTTTAAGAAATACAAGTATATAAATATATGATCAAATTACAGTCTAAAATTAGAAATGGATGGGAATAAGTCCTTACATTTTTTTACCACTTCAAATAAAGATTTTTTCAATTAAAATTTGGGTGACAAACACCTGTGAATTAGAAATAGTGGGTTTCTACCTAGGGTTTGTTAACCCTGACTAATGCCTTGGGTAAGTTCTTCCTAGGTAGAAACCCACCTAAATTTTCCTGTTGTTCTATTAATATGTAAGAAGAAAATCAGCAATATGAAAACAGTTTACATAAATAAAGGAATGGCTAAACCATAGTCATCTCAATCAAAACTCTTTGTATTAGAGTATGATGTCACAACACCAGCAGACAGATCATCCTTTTCCATCTGCTAAAAAAGCAAACCAAGCTCGCTGCCATAAAGTCATTTATGACTCATAGTGACCTGCTTTGGGTTCCCAAGGTGGTATCACTGAGGAAGTAGATTGCCCAATCTTCCTTCCGAGGAGTGGCTGGTGGGTTTGAATAGTCAACCTCCTGGTTAGCAGTAAAAATGCCTTAGGTAGTACACCACAAATCAAATGCGGTTAATATGCTGTGTCACTCCATGTTTCCTGGCATTGCTGCTCTTCAGGCATTGATAAACCAAAAAAAACCAAACTCACTGCCATGAAGTCGGATCCAACTCATAGCTACCCCTCCTTGAATTTCTGAGGCGGTATCACTACAGAAGTAGATTGCCCAATCTTCCTTGGGAGGAGTGGCTGGTGGGCATTTATATTTCATTAATATTTTTCATTATTTTTTTCCAAAGCAGTGTCTCCATACTTATTCAATCTATATGCTGAGCAAATAATCCAAGAAGCTGGACTGTATGAAGAAAAATGTGGCATCAGGATTGGAGGAAGAATCATTAACCACCTGAGATATGTTGACAATAAAACCTTGCTTGCTGAAAGTGAGGATGACTTGAGGCACTTACTGATGAAGATTGAAGAACACAGTCTGCAGTATGGATTACGTCTCAATATAAAGAAAACAAAAATCCTCACAACTAGACCAATAAGCAGCATCACGATAAATGGAGAAAAGATTGAGATTGCCGAGGAGTTCACATTGCTTGGTTCTAAAATCGATGCCGATGGAAGCAGCAGACAAGACATTAGACAACGTGTAGCACTGGGCAGTCAACCACAAAGGAAGTCTTTCAAGTGCTGAGGAGCAAGGATGTCTCCTTGAGGACTAAGCTGCACCTGACACAAGCCATGATACCTTCAATCGCCTCATATGCATGTGAGAGCTGGACAATGAATAAGGAAGACCAAAGAAGTGTTTATGCTTTTCAGTTGTGGTGCTGACAAAGAATGCTAAAAGTACCATAGACTGCTAAAAGAACTAACAGATCTGTCCTGGAGGAAGTGCAGCTGAAATGCTCCTTGGAAGCAAAAATGGCCAGACTTCGTCTCACCTACTTTGGTCATGTTGTCAGAAGGGACCATTCCCTGGAGAAAGATGTCATGCTTGGTAAGGTGGAGGGGTTGATGAAAGAAGGGAAGGCCGTGGATTGGCATGGTGTCTGCAACAATGGGCTCTAGTATAACAGGGATCATGGAGCTGGCACAGGATTGAGTGGTGCTTCGTTCTGCTGTTCATGGGGTCGCTATGAGTCAGAAACAACTCGATGGCACCTAACAACAAGTGCAGCAGTTCATACACATTTTGTTTCATGAAATTGACTGCAATCCCTACTATGTAACACCTCTCTTCCCACATCCTCCCTGTAGTTACCTCTTCCCTGTGTCCTTTCTTATGCATTCCTGCTCCCTGAGCTTTCTCCCCATGCAGATATTGCCCTTCTGTTTGCCCATGATTGATTGTTCTAAGAAGTGTATCTATCTGGTATATATGTTGACCTTATATGCCTGTCTGTTGTTTGGGTGGAAGCCAGTAGAGTGAGTTCAATTCCAGACCTGAAGGGTAGCTAGTCTCAGGGATCCCACCAGGCTCTATCAGACTACTAAGCAAGATCTTTTTTATGATTCCAAGTTTTGTTCCACATTGTTGTCCCACTCTATCCAGGATCTCCTGCACTGATCCTTTTGTGGGTGGTTGACAGTGGTAACTGGGCACCATCTAGTTCTTCTGGTCTCCTGGTCATACAGGCTGAGATTCACATGGCCCGCTATTCCCCTGGACTAATTGTTTCCTTGCTTCTTTGGTGTTTTTCACTCCTCTTTGCTCTGGATGAGGTTTATGTAATTTTTTAAAACATTGCTAGAATTGATTTGCTAATAATTTATTCAGAATTTTTGCATCCAAATTCATGAAAGATACTGGTTTGTAGTTTGTTTGGTTTGGTTTGGTTGGTTTGTACTGTTTCTGTCTGGTTTTGGCATCAGAGTAATAAAACGAGTTGAGAAGGGAAGGTTTTCTTCTATTTTTTTTTTTTTTAAGTGATTGTTGTGTAAAAGTGATTTTATTCTTCTTTAAAAGGGGCTCTATTACTGGTGATTCCCCTCCTCACCCTTGTGTCTCTGGGTTGAGGAGGAAAATCTTGAGCCTATGATGGCAAGGAGGCTCCCTAGACCATACCTGGGTCTCTCCTGTTAGCTCTGCCTGTCTGCCTCATTATCTCTCAATGAAAAGGGGGAGTCAGCCCCAGCAGGGGAGGAGAATGCCTTACCTAGTCACTTATTTCTGGTGAGGTTCCCCCTTGCTAGTGGTGTCTGGCTCACCAGATGTTGGGAGAGACACTTGCGAATGGTCCATGGGAGGAATGAGTGTACAGGAGCTGCCTTCTGTTGCTAAGTTGAACCAAAAAACAAACCCATAGCCATTGAGTCAATGGCAGAATAGAACTGCCACATAGAGTTTCTAAGGC